TCTATGGAAAATTTTCTTCCCTTGCACAAGTTGACCTTGTTCGTCATATGAGGGCATGGTTTGAGACTTCACTATGGTTCCTGGGATAAATCGCTTCATTGCTTGTAGCAAATGTGGTATCTCATTGTACGATGTATCCCAATCTCCATACGTCAGCTTCATTGCCTTCATCTTCGCATTCCACACCTTGCCATATTTTACTTGATATCCAAATTAGATTCGAATAAATACAGCTAAAACTGAACAAGATATCCTTGGATCCTTTTCAACTACCGCCTTCACATATTCGCATATTACATCGGAGTCCAATAGTCGGTGGTCTTGTTCGATGGAGTTTCGCAAACATGTGTGTGAACCATTGTACCTCGTGATGACCCAAGCATCGTGCCTTTGATTTTGAGATACTCTGATCTTCCACTTGTACTCTGAGCCCTATTTTACACACTTTGTGTATAGGGTTTTCTGGTTTGACTCTGTAACATAAACATCAACATGGCATTTGATGCAGTACTCTTTAATCGCCAACGTGGCTTCATTTTTTCCTCAGAATTGCACCCCAACTGAAAATTCACCAGAATTATCGAATGATTCAACCATTTGGTAAGGAGGTAAATGTGGCATGTCTGGGAATTCTGGTGCCCTCATCGCATCATAGTTTATCTCGTACATGTGAGGAGTAGCTTCATACGGTGTCAGAACTTCATCAATTACACCTCAACCGAAAAAATTTTCATCGTCGCCCAAAACGGGTTCTTCGGTTTCTTCATCTTCACTTGAATCATCATGAATTTCTCCCCATCGATTTTCAGCATCAATATCAACAGCCAGTTCTGGTATTTTTCTCGTCGCATACTCTGCTGTTGCAGATGTCCCTCCGACTTCATTTCCACTTTCTAATAGTTCCATAAAACTGTTCTGGAACCTGTATGTCGGGTACTCAAACTCACTATCGAAAGCCATTTCAGATGGATTTCGAGCCACATCTCTTGATGACCCAGGAACATCACATATGTGTTATGCACATCAACAAATAACTCAATAACTGCTATATTGGTTTACTCATGTAATCCAATCATAGTTCCAATATCATCATCTTCTTCAACTGGTACTGCAACATATCTGACTGGGCTGGGACATATCATAAACCTGTACCTCAAACCATCAACTGTAGCTCAAATTTTTCTTTCAATCTTCTGCTTCATTTCTATAAATGTGATGTCTTTTTTTAACATCATATTTATTGGTTTTTCAGATTGAAAAATAACTCCGACCTCATTTTCCATAATTTATCCATTATAATGGACAATCGTGAAAACGTTGTTTCTCATTTTCCCTACAAATAAAAAAAATATAAATTTAGATTAAAAAATTAGATAAGATATTTTTTTAAACGGGAATAAATTAAACAAATTAATTTTATATAATCTAATATAAACTAACTAACTAACTAATTTACACATACACAACAACAAAAAATAATAAATTACCCTCGTATTTATGCCTTCTTCCTTTCCTTTCCTTTCTTCAAATCAATCTGTACGTGGGCAAATGTTATGGAATAATGCTTGTACGTATAAAAACAATATTTCTTTAAACAACAATAAATTAAACAAATTAATTTTATATAATCTATTATATTATAATATAACTTAAACTAATAAACTATTTCTTTATTATAATATAACTTAGCTTCAATAACAAACTAACAAACTAATTAAGCATAATCCCTTTTTTATAATATAACTTAAATTTCAACAAACAACCTAATATATGTTTAAACACACTAACAAATAAATTAAATATTTTTTTAACATTTAATAACTTAAACTAAGAAACTAATTAACTAATGTTTTATATAATCTAATATATATAACTTAAACTAACAAACTAATATAATATAACTTAAACTAACAAACTAATAATTTATACTAACAGACTAACTAACTAAATAATATAACTTAAACTAACAAACTAACTAAATAACTTAACCCTAAACCCTAAACCCTAAACCCTAAAGTAACAAACTAATTATTTCATATAATAAACTAAATTAAACAATAAAAAATTACCTCACGAACGATGTTTGAGCCTTTATCTCCCTTTCTTCTTCTTCATTTCCTTTCCTTTCTCTCGGCAAATTTTCTTTCTTTTAGCAATTTTTTCTTTCTTTCTTATGCTTCTACCCTAAATCCCTCATATCCAATATATAATGATATTTGTACTAAACAACAATCAATTTTTGAGCTGTATAATTGATGTTGAAGGCTGCAAATTTTTCAACCGTTTAACGCTGCAATAATACAACACTAATTGTTGTATGTTTTTCAACCGTTGAACACTGCAATAATACAACACTAATTGCTGCATACAACAGTTGATTTTACACTGCAATAAATGCAACTATGATAGTGGGAGGGGATAGTCTCGAAGCTATGGCACGAGAGAGCAGCGGGAACAAGAGGTAGCAGTTGTGGCACGAGGGAGCAAAGTTAGTGGCATGCATAGCGATCTGGGAGGTCGCTCGATGTGCATGGCGAGCTGGGAGGTCGCCCGGAAGCCATGGCGACCTGAGAGGTCACCAGGAAGCTATGACGACCTATGCATGAGAATGTTGGGACGTGCATGGCCTCGCTCAGATGCCCTCGGTCGGATGGCCTCGCTCGGATGCCCTCGGATGCTCTCGCATAGCTCGCTCGGATGGCCTCGGATGCCCAGCGTGTTAGGACGTACATTGCACATACAAAGTTAATCTTTCTCGTAGGTCGCCAGGAAGCCATGGAGACCTATTAGGTCGCCCGGATGGCATGGCGACCTACGGCCAACACTGTGGATTTCACCCTATTTGAGCAATTAATATGGGGAGTGCATTATCTCGTGAAATAATTTCTTCGAGAATCTCTAGAGTTTTTTCCATTATAGAGTATCAATACCATAAGAATAATATTGATATTATTCTTGTGGTACCGATACTCATCAGGAAGAACCCTTCGAAAATTATGAAAAAGTATCGATAATCTTTCAAGAGTATCAATACTTATTTTTAGAAAATAAGCTTTCTCAAAAATAGTACATATACTTAGGCCAAGTATCGATACCATGCTTAAAAGTATTGATACTCTCTCGTCCATATCGATATTCATTGAATTTTATCAAACTTCGAGTTCTAAATTAGCATCCGTATTCAACTCAAGTATCGATATCATCCAATGAAGTATTGATTCTCCACTAAGAGTATCGATACTCAAAAAAATTTAAATTTAATGTAGGTGTATCAATACTCAACCTAGATTATTGATACTAAAGGTGCATGAACAACAATTATTGCACAAAGTAACCCTCTAACAACTATAATCAATCTCTATTAGAGTATGTAAGAGAGAGTTATGTTATTATAGTCATATGAGTGCAGATAGAACTCAATTGCCTTCAACCAACATCAGTTTGAAAGAACCTAAGTGGTGTAGTATACAAACTCTACCTGCGCTCACTTGATTATAAAAACATAACACTCTCACACCAACCCATACAACTAAAATTCAATTAAAGACTATATAAATAAGATTTTAAAGCATATTTGAAGATAAGAGATCATAGAGAAAGTTTATACAATCAATTTTGAATAAAAAATCATTTGTAATCAAATTCTTATTTACTTTTAAGAACACTAATTTTTGTATTCATTGTAATTCTTTCTACTAGTGTTCTAGAGTGTTTTCGTGTTTAAATTGTGAAAGCATCTTTTCTTGTGAGGATTTAATACTTTGGTAATTATAATTTTTCTTTTGGGAAAGTTGTTATAAAATTTTTGGATATAAATCTTAAGGGAGTTATAAGGTTATACTTTATCCTCAAAAGTTAAATAAATTAATAAATTTGTGAAAATCCTTAATATGAATAATTAAGATATTAGATGTAAACTTCATCGAAAATATTAAACCACTCTAAACTTTTGTATCTATTTCTTTCTTCAAACTTTCATAAAAAAAAATTTATTTGTGAATACATCTTCTCTTTACTATTTTTATTTATCGATGGACTCAACAATTATATATACAAATACTTGGTAATTTTTTCTACAAATACCATAATAACATTTTGCTCATAACAATCAATTAAATTAATTTAAAGGATAAAAAATTCGGAGACATTTGAGATAATGTGTATTTTTTCAAGTAAAACTTTATCGAAAATGGTTTCCCCTTAAATTAGAAAAAAAAACAAGGCATTAAAGTTAATATGTGTATTTTTTTGTTGTTGTTGGATAAACTATATATTTTGTATCTAAACTATTACTTTTTTTTTTCATTTTGGTAGTTAAACTTTATTATTTTTAAAATTATCTAACATTTAGTTTAGATTTCACTTTGATACCCATCATTAAAAATTTAATAGTAATATTAATGTGTTATCATAAGAAAATATCATATCATCATTGAAAAAATTTAAAAATATCACGTCAACGGTTATATTAATTTTTTAACAATTTGATATCAAATTAAAACCTAAAATAAATGCTAAATGTGATTTTTTCTAAATAAATAAAACTTGAATATCAAAACAATATATATATATATATATATATAATTTAGATACTAATTGTGTAGTTTACCTTTTTTAATTTTTTTAAAATATATTATTTATTCCAAGAAAAGGATAAAATTGTTACCTGTAGCATATGTTGTCATAATTAAAAAGTTTTAAAAATCTACATTCAAGGTTGTTTAAGAAAATTATCAAATTAGTCAATAATCTGTATAATAAATGAACAAAAACTTATATTCATTAAAAAAATTTAATTAACATTTTTCTTCTTTCTGAAAGGGTAAGTTTAATATTAACAAAATATTTTTTCCTATCTTAAATAGAAATTATTAAAAAACATATCAAAATAAAAGCACCACCAAATAATATATCTCAGAGCTGGGCTCCACCTTGAAACAGCTATATGTACGAACCCTTCCCCTACTTTTCGAAGTAGTAAATAAGTTTCCAAACTCCTCTCCTCTTCTTCACTCCTCTATTTTCAGTGAATAAAGAGAACAGAGAGAGAACGTTGTTTATACGACAGGGGTTTGTATTTTCGATATGAACCAGGAAACTCGTTCTTAGTTGTTAGAGAAACAATGGTGGACGTCGACCGGAGGATGTACGGTTTGAATCCGTCTCATATAGCAGGCCTGCGCCGTCTCTCTGCTCGTGCTTCCGCTCCTTCAAATCCCACGTCTCTTCCTGTTCGCAAAGGTCTTCAATCTTTCTCGTCTTTAGCTGATAAAGTTATAACCCATTTAAGGGATTCGGGTTTCCAAGTCCAGCTAGGTTTATCAGACGCCGAGTTCGCACGAGCGGAAGCCGAGTTCGGCTTCGTTTTCCCACCCGACCTCCGAGCCATATTATCAGCCGGGTTACCTGTGGGTCCAGGTTTTCCCAATTGGCGATCTGTTGGAGCCCGACTCCATCTCCGGGCTTCGCTTGATCTTCCCATCGCTGCGATTTCCTTTCAAATCGCGCGTAACACTTTATGGTCCAAATCTTGGGGACACAGACCCTCTGACCAGGAAAAAGCTTTACGGGTCGCAAGGAATGCCCTTAAACGAGCTCCCCTTTTGATCCCCATTTTCAATCACTGTTATATTCCCTGTAACCCCTCTCTAGCCGGTAACCCCGTTTTTTTCATCGACGAGACCCGGGTTTTCTGTTGCGGATTCGACATATCCGATTTTTTCGAGAGGGAATCCTTGTTCCGAAGATCCGAACCCGACCATGAATCGTTGAAGAAACAGAGATCGATTAGTGAGAAGTCAGCCGGGTCGTCCACTATTTTCTCAAGGCGTAGTTTGGATGCCGGGGCGAGAACCCCCAGATGGGTCGAGTTCTGGAGCGACGCGGCGGATGATCGGCGACGGAGAAACTCATCGTCATCTTCGTCGCCTGAGAGGTATGTGAATATGCGGAGGTGCAAAATGCCGAAATGGGTGGAGGATTACATTGATAAAACCGGGTGGGTTCTGAGAGAAGGCGGGTGGGCTGAATCGGACGTTGAGGAAATGATGCACGTGTCACCATCTGGGTTCTTCGAAGAAGAGATGGTTTTATTGGATAATCAAGCCGTTCTGGATGTCCTTCTTTTAAAGGTGGATCGGTTCTCCGATTCGCTCCAAAAAGCCGGTTGGAGTTCCGATGAAGTTTGGGATGCACTAGGCTTTGATTTCCGACTGGAAAAGGGAAAGAAACATGCCAAGAAATTATCCCCTAAGCTCGTACAAAAAATTGGGGAACTTGCTCAATCGGTTACCCGGTCATGAGGATCTCGGGCTGTGCATTTACGTTTCTTGGTTTACGGGGGAAAATAGTATAAATATATATAACAAAGGCGGTTGTGCATCTTGAAACGATGGGAAAAACATAAAGGTATAATATCAAAATTAGTCCTTAATATTTATTAAAATGATCATTTTATCTCTTATCCTTTTTTTTAATATTTTGACATCAATATTTCATTTTAGGATAGAAAGATACATAATATTTAACAGAATAATCACTTTGTCCTTTAATATTTTAGCTATCAATTTTTATTTTATATTAAAAAATTAATATTTTAAAGTATTAATTGCGTATTAACTAATGATTTTTATCTGTAAGATGAAGTTTTTTTTGTCTCAAAGTCTAAATTTGTAGGTCAAAATGCTTAAAAAATATAAGGGTTAAAATAATTATTTTAATAAATATTGTGGACTATTTTTGGTAGTGTACCAAAATAAATATAATGAAAAACATAGCTATTTTGTTTACGGCTCAGGTTCTCACAAATTTTGGTTGTTTCGGGGGGATTATTTCAGGAAATGCGAGTAATATACGGTTAATATACGGTATTATCGGATATATTAAAAGATATTTAATAAATTTGTTTTAGCACTACCTATTATGTTGACAGATTAATAATGTTTTAAGTAGAAAACATGAAAAACTATTTAAAAATTTGGTAACCAGTAAACTTTGGTTATCGGTAAGTATCGATACATATATATATAAGTGTTCATACTTATTTCACTGTGGAAAACATTAATTTAAGGTTATCTTTTGAGTGAGTTTTAAGATATTGATTTAGTAATTATACACGTCTAATAGTTTATTTTTATGTTACGGTATATATTATTATTAAATTAAAAATAATAAACATAGATATTACATATTTATTATTATCTTTGATTAAAATTGTTAAATTTAAATTCTAAATAATATTTTATAACATATCAAAACAATCAAATAATTTTTTGTATAAATAAAATTATTAAATTAATATTGTAGGTGAAAAACATGAAGCACTATTAAAAAATTTTGAAACATAAATTATATAACTTTCAACAAAGTATTGATACATTTTTATAAAAAGTATCTATACTTTCAACATATCAGGTAAATTTTACCGGTTTTATCATAATGAAATTGGTTTTGTCATATTTTAACCTGTTATATTGTAAAGTATCGATACTTTCAACATATCAGGTAAATTTTACCGGTTTTGTCATAATGAAACTGGTTTTGTCATATTTTTAACTGTTATATTGTAAAATATCGATCATTTTTATAAAAAGGATCGATATGTTCAACATATCATGTAAATTTTACCGGTTTTGTCATAATAAAACTGGTTTTGTCATACTTTTACCTGTTATATTGTAAAGTATCGATACATTTTTATAAAAAGGATTGATACTTTCAACATATCAGGTAAATTTTACGGTTTTGTCATAATGAAACTGGTTTTGTCATATTTTTACCAATTATATTGTAAAGTATCGATATATTATAGGCGCTATTACTGTTTTTTTTTAAATTCCAAAAGTGTCGATACTTATTTAAATGGAATCGATATTTTCAACATATCCAGTAGGTAGTTTAATGTAATAGGTAGCACCAATTTTTTTTACCGTTTACATTATTATATTTGATAATGTTTCTAGTAAATAACCGGTTATGTTATTATTGGTAATATTTTAGGCGTTTACCTAATATATTGTAATAACAAATTAAATAATTAACCTATTTTATTATATAAACGCTACCTATTACGTTATATAAGCGTTACCTAATATGTCATTGTGCTTGATAATGTGTCTAGTAATTAACCTATTTTATTATATAAGTGCTACCTATTACATTATATAAGCGGTACCTAATATGTTATTGTGCTTGATAACGTTTCTAGTAATTAACATATTTTATTATATAAACGCTATCTCTGTGGAAAACATTAATTTAAAGTTATCTTTTGAGTGAGTTTTAAGATATTAATTTAGTAATTATACGCGTCTAATGGTTTATTTTTATGTTACGGTATATATTATTATTAAATTAAAAATAATAAATAGATATTACATATTATTATTATTTGGTTAAAATTGTTAAATTTAAATTCTAAATATATTTTATAAAATATCAAAACAATCAAATAATTTTTGTGTAAATAAAATTATTAATTAATATTGTAGGTGGAAAACATGAAACACTATTAAAAAATTTTGAAACATAAATTACATAACTTTTAACAAAGTATCGATACATTTTTATAAAAAGTATCTATACTTTCAACATATTAGGTAAAATTTACCGGTTTTGCTATAATGAAACTGTTTTTTTCATATTTTTACCTGTTATATTGTAAAGTATCGATATATTTTTATAAAAAGGATCGATACTTTCAACTTATCTGGTAAATTTTACCGGTTTTGTCATAATGAATCTGGTTTTGTCATATTTTTACCTGTTATATTGTAAAGTATCGATACATTTTTATAAAGTATCGATACTTTATAGGCTCTATTATTACTTTTCTTTTAAATTTCAAAAGTGTCGATACTTATTTAAATGGAATCGATACTTTCAACATATCCGGTAGGTAGTTTAATGTAATAGGCAACGCCTATTTTTTTTTACCGTTTACATTATTATACTTGATAATGTTTCTAGTAAATAACTGGTTATGTTATCCTTAGTAATATTTTAGGCGTTTACCTAATATGTAATAAATTAAATAATTAACAATTTTATTATATAAGCGCTACCTATTACGTTATATAAGTGCTACCTAATATGTTATTGTGTTTGATAATGTTCCCAGTAATTAACTTATTTTATTATATAAGCGCTACCTATTATATTATATAAGCGGTATCTAATATGTTATTGTGCTTGATAATGTTTCCGGTAATTAACCTATTTTATTATATAAGTGCTATCTATTACATTATATAAGCGGTACCTAATATGTTATTGTACTTGATAATATTTTCGATTAAATGATATAATATAATCAATCTAAATTTTAACCGATCACTTATTTAATCGATCACGTCATTTTTAACCGTTTTTTAAACGCTGCACTGCATAACTTCCCTTGTTTCGAAATATTTCTGTTGGCCGAGAGGGGCTCAGATTTCTAAATCAGCACCACTGCACGTGTGCTTTTTATTTATTTACTTTTTCTTCTTTCTAATTAAGCTAGTTTATCCTTTTTTTCAGTTTAGTTTAGAATCACAATTGTTTTATATGAAATAAGATTATGATTCAGTTAATAGGTTCAATTAAAAACATGAAAGAGTAACCTAGGGAGACTTCTTTCTGAATAATACTTGAACTATCTTACTTATTGTATACACCGTTTTTTGTTTGGACGGGTAAAAGATTGACATCGATTCGGGGTTTCTCTTTGAAAGGAATTTTCGAAATGTGAGGAGTCGTCACCAATCATTTAAAATGCGATTGTGACACCATAAAAACTGGGTAATTTTAATAAAACATTTTATTTTTATCAAAATACCAAGTTTTAAGGTCTGCGAAAATCCAAAAATCAGGTTCACGAGTCAGTTATGCGTGGGGAAAGATTAACATTCCCACAAGCGCCCAAAAATTGGTACCTAGTTGATTACCCTATATTTAAAATTAGAAATTTTGAGTTCGATCTTTATTTAATTTAAAAATCATTACTGATGCAAAGTTGAAAAGGATATTCGTTTATCGAGACCAATGATACTCGCTCCCAAGCGTAAATGCGGGAGATTATCTATTGTTTCTAATAACCGAATATTGCCTCACTTTTTAGAAAATCATGATGCAATCTTTGAAACGGATATCGACCTATTTCGGGAATCACCAATAGTCACCCCTTGAGCATACTTGCGGGAAATATACTATTAATTCCCTAATAAGTGTGTCATAACCTTTTTTTTAAAAAAGAATTAAATATTATTTTAAAAAAATTGTAACTTTAATTTGAAAAAATTGGCGATTTTGATTTAATTTGAATTATATTGAATATGAGTCGCCATCGACCTTTGGGAGAGGAGAACTCTCCCCCATTTTCATTTTTCATCCCTCACTATTCTTCTTAGAGAGAGGAGAACTCTCTCAAATCCACTATCTTCACTCCTCATGATGGCCGAGAGCCATCAAACTCCAAAAACGAACATCGGCCACCGTACACCATGAAATTAGTAGCCTAAAACACCCCACACGCCACCCTTCTAACCCCAAAAGAAAACCCTACAACCCCTAAAGAAAACCCAAGCTTTTCTTTTCCTTTTTGCTATGAACCGACCCTTCAACCGAAGTCCAACGGTTCAAAGCTCCGGTAAGGGCTCGGGAAGGTAATCCCTCAACTCATCCCCCCTTTCTCTTTTTGTTCGAATTTCCTAAGAAATTTCTTTTTCTATTTTTTTCTTTGGAATCACTCTTTGTCTTCTTTGTTTTTAAATCCTCGAATGCCTCTCCCCCTCTATTTTTTTATATTTTCTTTCCCCCAAAATATTTTTTTCTCTCCTGATACCTTTTGTCCCCTCCATTTTTCTTTATGTTGTTCTCTGTCTTTTATTCGTGGTTACTTGTTACATTGTTTTGATTGATGGATACTTGTTGAAATGATGAGATCCATGGGGGTAGGGGCATGGTCTTCACTGATTTGGGTAGGTGAAATCCCGAAATTTTAGGATTTAAGCATGGGTTCTCTGACTTATTTATTTTTTTTGTCTTGATAGGGCTCACTGATTTGGTGATGACGACAGCGTGGGAGTGTTCAACATTGGCTCATGTGCCGGTCTGGAGGAGCGCGTACATATCAAGCGCCGATGAACGGTCCAGCTTCTGTGAACAGCAGCGGTGACTGGATGATATACTTAGGGTTTAAAACCTTTAACTGATTTGGGTTGCACCTTGGGCCGGGTTTAGGTCGGACCTGGGTCTGGTACTAGGTCTTGGGGTTGTATATGGGCTTGTATCTGAGTTGGGTTTTGTAATGGTCTTGGGTGATTGGTGGGCTTTGGGTTATATATTGGGCCTTCAAAAATTGTAAAGTGTATAATAATAATAATAATAATAATAATAATAATAATAATAATAATAATAAT